CTGCGAGGGTCATCTTCCACACTTTCTCTGCCAGATTTAAAAAGGGCTGTCCATTTTTTCACAGTGGTGTACGAAGGAGCAGACTCTCCTAAAACTTCATCCATGTCAGCTTTGATTTGAGATGGGGTCAACCCTTTTTTCGTCAGGTATTTTATGACCGCACGAGTCTCCGTCTTCTCCATTTTTGACAAAGCATGTGCACACTGACTATCTGCTAAGCTGTCGTGGCAAAACTTTTTGACAAATCAAGCGGAAATTGGTATCGTATCTTTAGCAAAGATGGCTGAATTATTCCCGCTAAAAATTAAATTGATCGCAGCGGCGCATATAGGCAAGGCCGCGAACTTTCCGAACAGTCCTCGTAGAGAGAAGTATCGAGTTTCTAAACGAATACAATGCGTTCATTAAGTATGTTTGAAAATTTCTCAAATTAATTTAATTATCAGTTATAACGTTTTAAACTTCATGTACAGTCGAACCCCCTATAATTACGGTCCCTAAAATTACGATTGCTATAAAACTACGAAAAAATATACGTATTTTGGAAATGTTGAGTTGGATTAGTGTAGAATCGATTAATTTTATGGAAGAAAAACTTTCAATCAGCCGTAGTCCGTAAACTTGACACGTGTCGGGCTGTGATTGGAACGACTTCTAAGAAATCGGATTCCTAATAAATTGGAACGTATCTATATCTTATAGGGGGGTCGACTGTATAACACATGAGAGAAAATTTGTAACAGAAACGGCAAATGTGTGAAAGATCAACTTCCCACAAAGCATATCGTTGTCGCAATAAGTAACTAGTATTTATTTATCTTTGTGTTTTTTCTGTTACTTCAGTCCTATAGGAGAAATCTATATGATAGCAAAAACTTGCGTTTAAACATCCAATCCAAATATCAGAATATACAGCCCAACAACTTATTTCTAATATTTTTCAAAAATAAATTAATTACGATGTTAAATTATAGCAAACTTTTCTAGCACTTTTTGAACACAAAAATAAGGAAACAACTTTTACAGAAAATCATTATCTAAAGCAGAGGTGTCCAACCTTTTCGTTTCTCTGAGCCGCATTGGAAGAAGTCAAGGAGTTTTGGGCCACAAATTTATATAATACATACTTGTGGCCCAATATACAAGTATATTTAAGGACTAATATGTCTAGATTATAATAATAAGTATTAAAACTTTATCACGAAAAAGGATATTTTAAAAAATTACTTTTACAGACGCTTTTAATTTTTACTTTAATAGAAATAAATAAATTCATTTATTATAAATATAAAGAGACAAACGAAAATTTATTTAAAAAAACACAAATATTTGTTTTATTTGGGTCTCTAATTAATAAAAAGCGACGAAACGCTATTTTAAAGTGCATTTTTATTCAACTAATATATTTATGAATAATATGTAGCCCAAAAAGTAGGCAAAGCGCCAAATGATATTTTTTACATCAAACTAAAAAAAAGTAGTCACATTTGGTGCAAATCAGCCAAATCTTGCAACGCTGAAAGGAATAATAAATAAAGTTGGAGTTGTGACTCAAAGGATTATAGACCCAAATGCGAGGAAAAAAGAGAAAGGACAAAAGATAAAGAAGTGAGAAAGGTTGGAAAATTAAGAATCAATGTTACTGTGAAAGACCGAAATTAGAGAATATCGATATTCTCCGGTGAATGTCCGAATAATACAAAATACAAAATATACAAAATACGTCGGTGAAAGTCCGAATATTTGGTTATATTATTATACATTCGAACAATCGCCGGTGTATGTCGACAAGCACAGATAAGCTTTGGTGGAGGTCGAATCCACACCCGAGAAGCCAATGTCGACAGAGAGGCGACAGTCTGTCGCCAAATCCTTTGTGAGTGGCCGGAGGTAGGACAAGGTCTTTCGATCCCGTGAGATGGGGATCGGCTTGTCAGATCGAGCGGCGGAGGATGAGAGGGGTCATCGGTAAGGCGTCGGCGATATCCGAATAAAAGACACCATTAATTAACAGATTAGTTCGTAATCACGTAATAACGTAATCAGTTCGTAGTTTGTAAAGAAAAGCTACTTTCTATAGATGAGATTTCTTTTCAGGAAATATCGCTGAGAGAAGCAGCTGCAGCTAATTCGAAAAGTGGAGAGCAAGGCTATACACGCTGTCATTGCAAAAAAAGTGTTCCACGAATAAATGCAGTTGTAAAAGCAAGGGACTCTTGTGCAATTCAAAGTGCCATAACAGTTTAAATTGTTGCAATAAATAAGACTGTATAACGATAATCACATAATTTATGTGTAAGTTTATTATTGTATTATTTTCTTTAATGATTAAGAATGTTATGTTCGTTTTAGGTTCAACAGTTTATTTAAATGTGCTGTTACTTAAGCTTTCTCCTATTTTGACATATTAAAATGTTGCATTTTTGCCTTAACGTAATAAAAATATTTTTATTCAACATTCACCATCAGTGCATGCTGAATGTCGACATTTGCCGGTGTAAGTGAGAAAT